ATTTTGATTCGCTAAAAGGATCTATTAATTCCATCAAATGATGACAGCAGCAGTATAGCCTGTTCTGAAAATTAGAAATTCCCTTAATTTCAATATCACTTTATCCTTTCGGATGCAAAATGTTTAGTGTTCTTATTTTCTTATGTACGCGAGAATGGTGTTGTTAATATATTGTACGAAATAAAAATAAATGAAAAAATTATACCATTTGAATCTTACGAATATTAACTATTTTCAACTATTTATTTTAATGCAGATTATTTTTTTTAAAGAACTTCCCAAGTCTTTTTCATTATAAAGATAAAATATTTTATTTTTATCATACATATAATTATATTTTATTTTTTAAAAAAATAAAAATAAACATGCAACGCGATCAACCAAATCCAAGACTTGACCCAAATAAAATTATTAAAAAGTAAAAAAAATTAAAAATATAGACATGATACAGGTGCTTCAAATCATAATTAAAATGATAAGCCAAATTAGCTACTCAACATTATTCCTGAGGACATAGATATCTAAAAATGTAATTATAAAAACTGAAATATACATTAAGTGGAGTAAAATATGCAGCTTTACGACATAGAAGTATCAAAATGAGTGAAAGTTGTATCCATTTTAGCCATCAACAGAAGAAATATAAATCATGCTCTCATGTACTCCTGCCTTTTACGTTGTACATTCTGTAGTAATCTGATGAATGCATATAAATTTAAACCACAAAAGATATGGTTTATAGTGTTTGAAAGAGAGAGAGAGAGAGAGTTGAGAGGACTGATAGTTCAATCGGATCAACCTAAAAATGAGAATTTAAAGATAAATTGTATATTTATGGATCTAAAATAAGATAAACAGTGCAAAAAAGTACTTGTGCATGAAATTATGATCATTGTACCAAAAAGTTCATACACTCTGTTCACAATCTCAGCTGGTGGTGTCCACCAGATCAGTCTGCTAGATTGGGAGCAGATCACCCTACAGAAAAAATTAATCCTTTTCATGTTTCTCATCGATTATTCCACATTACAACAACGCCAAGAAAAAAGTTGTCAGTAACAGGCAAATAGAAAGCTTGAGCAAATATGGGAGAGGAGATGATTAATTCCTGCTTGTGGGTCTCCTGCAGCAGGATTCAGATGTCAGACACATCTTCTCCCTCTTGTAGAACGGCAAATTGACATGCATTTAAGGCCAAGGGTGGGCAGATGCTGTGCATGCTCAACAACTAGACAACCATGGCAGGGTGTCATACCACCACCTCTTCCTCTTCCTCTTCCCCTTCCCCTCCCCTCCCCTCCCTCCTCTCTAATCTCTCTTTCTCTCATAAAGCCGGCAAATCTTGTCTTGTAGCCGCTGCGTGTGGGAACAGAACAGTGATCATGATCTTGCAGGAGTGGCTGGGCACACACGCTATGAGCTCCGTGGTACAACATGATGAAATCGTCTACAGTTGTTCTTACACTTGCAGATGCCCTCTCCCTATGCAAGTGTTAATGAATAGCATGCATAAGCTCAATAAGCATATGAAAACATTCGTACACCGCAGAGTCATGTCCCTTTTCATTAGTCAGGTCTCAATTCGATATCCAAAAATACTTGAATTTGTTACTTCAATCAATGCTTCCCCTAATTAATTATGATCTCGTGATAAACGTCCTACTTAATTAAAATCAGAGTCCCTGTTAGGCAATTAAAATTACCTACGTTCCCCTTTCTGTGAAGGAACCATCAACCTGTGTTCATCGACAATATACAGACTGCATCCACAATTCTCCTCGTTATACCATGATTCGCTTCTTGCTTCCTCTTGAATACGCCACTGTTTCTTTCTATCCACACACAAATAGCACATCGTATCACTGGTTCCTTCATCACTCTACCTGCATATGACAGTGACCCACTGGTCCAATTAGAACTTTTGGTAGTGACTACAGCTTCAGGAGAACCAAGCTTTCATGTTAGCAGGAATCCACAGACCTGAAAGAACTTCTTAAGATCCATTTTCCTGGTTTACTGTGACTGTTCATCACAGGAAGACATTTACGAGTCACACATGTGTTGGTTTCAAATCATGGCAGTAAGCTTCTTCGGTATCTGCGACAGGGAATCCCATTTCCACGACGAAAAGTTCGGATGAGTTCACAATAATACAGGAACCAAACAGAAGTGTAGTAGTGACACATGTTTCCACCATCCATCAATCTCCTCGAGCAAATCTAAGTGATGTAGCTTTTCTTCCCATGGTGTCATAATTGAGCTTACTTTAGGGCCCACAGTCACTGCACACCCGCAAGAAAAGTCTTTCCTGTGTTCATTCGTGATCCGTTCATGGGTTATCAGCACATTATCTCATGTGTTGAGTTCTTTTAGAAGAACACTGGGGCTGAAGAAAATTTAGACTAATTTTATGATACCCTTCCGGCTATTATGGCCAAAATGATCACTTGGATTACATTGTCTTCCACAGGCTGAACAACTAACATTCTTCTGTCCTCATCATTCAGAACAATTCTTGGATCCAACAAGGACAATATATAGTCTTGGGAGAGCATTTCATGCTTCTGGGTTCATTTTCCTAACTCTCTTAATCAAATCATGTGCCGTTCTGATCTTGAGACCCGATCAACTCGTCGTCTTCCACACCTGACTGACCATAGAAAAAAAGCATCGCCTTATGCTCCATTTATGTGCATTTAGTTGTTCTTCACCTTTTGGCACTCTTTCGGCAACATAACATACATCGAGGCAAACTTTTCTATGTTAAGCCACCTGCGTTGCACATGGAACTGGCAGAAGAGACAGGAAGTGTACCTTGTGAATCTTCAAAGTTAGGATATTATATGCACACAGGCTTGTCGGTTCGTACATATAAAATATACTTTGACTATGAGTGAGTGATACACTGGACAAGATCACCGATTTTTTATATTGCATCAATACCACTTTTTAAAGATGAAGATTAGCAGATCATCCATGCATCCCTTTCTTTATTAAAGGTGAAGTAGATCGATGCATCTGCACTTCCTCAAATAGTTATCTATATCTACCGCTGCAATTAACAAATTGGTTTCTATGAGTGCTGTGTTATGCACGATGAGAGATGATCAAGCGGCGCCCGGGGATGCTCACCTTCTGCATGCAACAGCTGCAAGGTGATGGACGGAGGAATTTGGATAATTCTTGTGCCCCATTACCAACTCAATTTACAAGATCGAAGTAGCAGAAACACAGATTAAACCACTGGATATTGTGATGAAGGCATCACTGAGTACGTCACACACAAAATTATTGTTGTGGGAAGAGAGAAAGAAGAGATCACATCTCTGAAGAGAGAGAGAGAGAGAGAGAGAGAGAGAGAGCAGATCTACTGAAGAAATGTGGAACAGCTAATGGACAGGAGGTGGTGTGAGGTTGTTGAACAGTGCTCCGTTCCTGGGGTTTGTATTGGCTCCTGGATCCCGGTAGTCCATCTCCGTCTCCATCATATTTCTCCCTATCCTTGTCTCTTCCTGAAATATCCCCAACAACATCGAGAATAAATCCAACGAAAGAACTCGAAATTACAAAGGAGAAGCTAAAGAGATCACTAACAGTATCAAACGGGGCAGGAGAATTCCATGTCTCGTAATGCCTCATGACGTGCACCCTTCTCCCCAGTCCTTCACAGCCGAAGCATGAAACAAAGTAGAACCATGATGAGCGTATGATCACGACAAGAAACAAGAGAAAAAGGAGCAGCAAACCGTAGCACCTGCAGGGAAGGAAAGGAAGACAAGGGCTGAAGCGAGCACAAGTGCAAGAAGAAGAAACCTCGCCATTGCTTCTGCTGCTGCTGCTACTTGAGGTGGGTTTAGTGAGAGCTCAGAAGGTGAATAGATCAGGCCATGGACTGTGAGAGTTGGGTGGAGGCATTGAATGAAATGAAGTAAATGAAGCAAGAACAGGTGGACGGGCAGTAAAGCAGTCGTACTCTAAAGAGGATGATCCTATAAATGCGGGTTCGGTGCGGTAGAAGCCGGTATCGCCCGTATATTATGAACGCCACCGGGTCAACCGCCTCGTTTCTTGAGGCAACGCTCGCCAATTACGGATTAGGAACCCTTTTTATTGTGCAGTGTACAGGGATGGAAATCTTGTGGTTCATAGCGCCAAGCACGAATCTTAATGGCATCATTAATCAGAATAATATACGTTTTAGTGTGACTTGGTGTGTGGGTTTGCTTAGCCCTGCTCACAATAATATATGCAGGATTTGGATTGACTTCAGAAATACGTTTTGCAATTAGCTTTTGACATTTCTTTCTTTAAAATTAGTGCACTCGTCTAAGACTCAACATCTAACATGTATGAACGTCCTGATTAGCTGCATCACGTAGTGGGCGGCTATTATCACATCAGGTTAAGCAAAAGCTTTCAAAATGGAAGGGAAAGAAGAAATCATGGGGTAAAAGCTTCTCATTTAAAACTACAACTCATCACTCACCAACCAAAAAAGTACATTAGAAAAAATAGATTGCAGTCAGGTAAAAGATGTGCTTGAGATGAACTGGCTCGCACACAATCATTCAAAGCAAGAGAGATTGAGATGTAAGCCAGGCTTTCAATAGGGGTGTTGATGGGTCGAGTAGGGTTGGATTGAACCTTATTGTATATCAAGAAAGAACCAGTTGATATGAACGCGACCTGACGTAGCTGACACCATGTAAACCCAAATGAACTGCAGCCGAACTCACTCAGGTAGACGAGATGATGCGTTTCTTGATATTGTCATTAGGGAAGAAGGTGGGGTTGAGAATTATATTCAGATGAATAGATTCATCTCCTTCGTGAGCACCAGTGGCCAAAAGACAAGGAAGACTTTTGTTAGGTCCATGTCCATTTGCATTGACACAGGGTGTTTGTCGTCCAGCTTTTTGACTTTTTTATCACCCAAGGGAGGGAAGGTAGGCGATCAGACAGAGAGTGCCAGTGGCAGGGAACATAGTTTAAAAGGCGACCATTTTGGCTTTGTGCTTGGAGAAATGGAAAGGGTTTCGCTTCATCTTCTTGTGATTCTATTGGCCTTGTCTCACCTCCTCGTCTCCTCCCAGGCTATTCCAGCCACTGGTACTCATCTACATCTCTTTCTTCTTCTTCTTCTTCTTCTTCTTCTTCCGATGAGTCATCTGGTTTTTCTTTCTGTTGGTGCAGAGAAAGAACCCAAAGACCTTGCAACAATCAGTGAACCACTGAAGGTATGTAATATTGGACCACAAAAGATGTAAACTTATGACATCTGACAATCTCCTTTCTCATACGATCTCCTAGTTTTATAGCAGCTTTACAGGTATCGTGTTCATGACATGAAACGATAAAAGCATAGGCAAATATCCTATGTATGCTCCAGTAAGCGGTATATGAACTGTCATCTGCGTGTCTTATCCTAGAATATGTACCAAAAATAAGACAATCTTTGAAGAGATCTTGATTCTTATACGGAAAAATACAAACTCATGGTCATATTTGTTTTTGATGATACAAATGTGAAGGGAGGCTTATGGTTGGTTCGGAAAAGAACACAGCTTGCCTTCATATTCTTCTCGTCAGTAGTTATTCGAGTTTGAATTAATGTGAATGTTGTCTTACCAAACTTGACTGATGAAATATGGGAACCGATCGGTCACAGGTGGTGGAAGACGACGCTGCGACAGAAGACGTCGTAGGCGGCAGGATGAACGTGGAGATCAGCGATTACCCAATATCAGGTGCTAATAATCGCCATACTCCACCGGGAAGGAGCTAAACCTGTTAACTGATCTAATTATATACATATCTGGCTGATGTGTTCTAAGATGAACCGGCATGGTGATAGATGGATTGTAAACTGTCTCAGTTTCTGTCATCAGAATCTGTAATGGCGTCTGTTATCATATACGGGACAATAGCCTTTTGCAGATCTATTTGACTCGAGTACCGGCGGATGTTCTATTCAACAGCCGTTATAATGAAAGGAACTTGTTACAACAGTTGTCACGTCATTCCTACCCGACGTAACGTGTATATAACGAAATCACTACATATTATTATAAAGTGTGTTATTTCGGCCGTTACGGTCTATCACCTGTCATCCGCCCCCTTCCTCACGTAGCAAAACACGATTTGGCAGTCAACCGGACAAGTTGGCTTGTCGATTTATTCTGTTTCCAACCTCGCTCTTCTCCACGCCAAAGAGGAAGCAGAGGAGAAGCGGAGATTTCTGTCGCCCTCGATCGCTCGGCCTCCGCCGCCAACCGCCCTTCCACGATCTGCAGGTGATCCCGATCCCTCCACTTCTTGATTTTGGATCACGGAGATCCTCGATCTGCTTCCTCTGTCTTAAATTTTACATTGATCTCTTCTTTTGTGGTCGGTGATCATCGAATCGGGACTCTATCCGTGTAGATCTTGCTCTTTTTAACCTTGAGGAATATTAGTCCCTTTTTTTTTTCTTGGTTTTGTGTATAATTCGAGATCATATATGTTTGTGCTTCCGATCGGTGGTCTTTTCTGTTGGATCTTTGATCCACACATCTGTATATTTGGTTATTTATTTATCTTGATGTTTCTCTGATGATAGCTGAGGGAACGATGGGGCTCACCTTCGCGAAGCTCTTTAGCCGCCTGTTTGCGAAGAAGGAGATGAGGATACTGATGGTCGGTCTTGATGCGGCTGGTAAGACGACCATCCTTTACAAGCTCAAGCTCGGAGAGATTGTCACCACTATTCCAACCATCGGTGGGTATTATTCGTCTATACTGAGATTGCTCTTCTCTTTTTAACATTGATATCCTTAAAATCAAAATTGTTCTTATTTGTTTCTGTGATGGCTGGATCTGTTGTAGAACTTGGATTCCTGTTTCATGTCTGAATGATGACTTGGTGATCTTGCAATACTTGTGATTTTGAAATATTCAGTATGTGGATGTGAACATTAATTGTTTTGTACCATGAATGTGTGGTGTTCATGTTACGTTTCTATCTGCTCAAAAGCAAAGTTACAGATTTCTGACACGAGTCATTTTGATGCATAAGAATACACCAATAACCTTCAGTTTACCTGCATGAGAATGAGAAAGAAAAAATTGAGGAAAAAAGTCATGTTACACAAATTTGAACTGATGAGATTTCTTTTTATCACACCCGTCGAAATGAATTTTTTGTTTGGGGAAAGGTCTTTAAGAAAATTTTACTGCAAAGACACTAGCAACCTTGGGTATGACTCCGATACATTATTTCTGTCTTTTAGGATATTCTATTTGAACTGCTAGGAAAGAAATTGCTGAAGGTGATGGTCTTCTATGGAACTTCTATATATTTAGTGTTTTCGTCCCATTGCTCATGTAAGTGACAAACATAGCTGAGCACCTCTTATATATTATTTTCCCGTATGATTTAATTAAATGATTGTATCACTGGTTTTAATAGCTTTTGGAGCTTTCTGTTCATATTTTTTGATACCTCTTGGATTGAGTGGACTGTAGGTAATGTAGATGGAATATTTAATTATCTTAGTACTTCCATTTTATTCCTTATCTAAATATGAATTTTTTATGCGTAACTTTTAAATTTTCAAACAACCCTATATTTGAAATTATCAGTTCTAGAAAATTTTAATTTAGCACATGAGGTTTTTTGGGGATGAATATGTAAATTATAAAATATGTTTATGTATTCCATAGATGGGGAATTAGGGTAATTTTTTAGTATGTTAAACTTTAACCTTGTTACTAGCTAGTGGAAACATGATTTTTTTTATTAATTATGAATGATCTGAAGGGTTTGTTGGTGTTTTAGAACAATTAAGATGTTATGCTTACAAAATTATAAATCTTGAATTTATTTATCAAATTACTATGTTGGATTTAATGCAGGCTTCAATGTTGAGACTGTCGAGTACAAAAACATCAGCTTCACTGTCTGGGATGTTGGTGGTCAGGACAAGGTACTATTTTGATTATGTTTGCCTTTTGTCATCTAAGCAACTATGAATATTCAACAAACTGTTCATTTTAGATATTGTTGTTTTATTAGCTTTATTTGCCTACATTAGATTATTGTTTTTGGATAATTGATCAAAATTGGGTGTTCTAGGGTATGCTCATCTTCATGTGTCGCATAACATGTTAAACACTTTACATGCAGAAAGTACCTTCATTCTCTCAGTATGATTGGTCTATTGATGAATAACTTGTTTGTATATTTCTTAATTACCTTTTTGGTGATCTTGCTGTTTGCAAGAACAGATTAGACCACTGTGGAGGCATTACTTCCAGAACACACAGGGTCTTATTTTTGTGGTTGACAGCAATGACCGAGATCGTGTTGTTGAGGCAAGGGATGAACTCCACAGAATGCTGAATGAGGTAACCTCTTTTAGTGATGATAAATGCCACATAAAATTTTTGGTAAATCTGTTGTTGCATAACAGTTCCTGGAAAGTCTAATTTATGTAGAATTTCTCCACATTCTTATGGAGAACATCCCATTTAATAACTTTCTACCACCAAATTATTCACAAGTGAAGAGAACTTTGTTGTTTGGCACTTACATTTTGTGTGTCATGGTACTGATAGGACGAACTAAGGGATGCTGTCTTGCTTGTGTTTGCTAACAAACAAGACCTTCCAAACGCAATGAATGCTGCTGAAATCACGGATAAACTTGGTCTGCATTCCCTGCGTCAGCGACACTGGTAAGATCTTCACTTTACGAATTAACAATTTTCTTTTGATTTTATAGTAGTCAAGTAAATTACTATTCATTTTATGGAATCTACTTTGTAGCATGGGTGCTTATAAGTTACAAGAAGTAGATCAAGCATACGTTAGATGATGAAATAATGTTAAATAGCCTTCTGTTGATTCTTCCAGTAAAGGACGACTTGCATTCAGTTGCCCATTCCAAAGTGCAGAGAAATTAGGTTGGATCTGCTGTTCAGAAAATCTGGAAATTGAGGTTTCAGTCAAAAATTAACTAGAAAGATCACTAAAAATAAAACTGCATCATGGTCCCTCTCCCTCTCTCTCTCTCTCTCTCTCTCTCTCTCTCTCTCTCTTCAGAAAAATGATCCATGTGTCTGTTAAAGGACAAAATGGAAGCCTTATGAGAGTTACAGACCCACATGTTCCTGGCACATTTCATGCCACATAATTAGACAATTCCTGGCACAGTATCCCAGTTTATGGCTCCTTACAGTGAAATTATTATGGTCAACTTTCAACCTTTTGATGGAATCAATGCCATGTCGTTGGTTTCTTTAGTTCTTCAGTCTGCATCTTTCAGATCATGCTAAACATATCTGAATTTTGAAGAGACATTTTCTTATGTTTGATAATTTGAGTAATTTGTTAATTGGAGATCAACTAGACAGCCTACTTTGACACTATGCAACTGCAAAGTGCCCAGTGTCTGTCCCTGTTGGGTGAGGAAAAGAGGAGAACGTGGAAAGCATCCATATCTTCCATTTACTTTTGCTTAGCAAGGAAGGAGTAATTCGTTGATTCTTGTGTTTCATTTCGTTCACTTCCATTGCCTTTCCTTTTGGTCTTTAATGAATAATGTTTGTGTATTAATGGTCATGTTTGTCTGCCATTCCCAGGTTATCTCCTGTGTGTCAAACTCCATTATGACCTCCCATAGTACATACCGTAGGCATGTTTCTTCAGTATATCTGCATGCATCTGTTCAGCACCTTTCTTATCTGTATCAATGAAATGCCAATAAATTATTTATATGTAAAAGTAGTTGTCATGGTGTCAGAGAGGGTATGTAATCTGCAATGCAGATTACATAACTTATTGTCTGTCTGTCTGTCTGTCTAGAATGTACGTTCATTGATCATGCAGTGCTGACCATCTTTAGTTAGAAAGTAGCATTTTAACCAACAAAGTTTGTGATTATCAATAGACTTGGATATCAGAACATCCTTAGAATAAAAAGCTTCTGAAAGCTGTATCTGGTTTATATGCTTATTTTTTTTGTATTGATTTGCAATTCTAGACCTTGTCTTTCCGAAAGAGTTTCCACATTCTAATGTTAGATATCACATACGATTGACTGGATAATTAAAGGTAATTCGTGCTGCTAACTGTTTACGTGCACTTATCACGGTCAGGTATATACAAAGCACTTGTGCCACATCTGGTGAGGGGTTGTACGAGGGGCTTGATTGGCTCTCCAGCAACATCGCCAGCAAGGTATCTTATCTACCTTCTTGTGTTAGTCTATGCATGCATGCATGCGGTGGGCTCTGTCATATTTCTTTCTACTTGCTTTGGAGAAGAAATCTCTCTTACATGAATAATGTGTGTGCTGACATGAATTTTCATGACAGTGACCATGGTTGCTCCGAGGAACTTAACAGCGGGTAGTAATCTACATTTACGGTTTGTTATATGTTTTCGTGGCATGGTTACCAAGGCCTTTTGCATTTAGAAGAATACCTTCAAGTAATAGATTGCAGTAAAACAGGGACGTCCTGACTACCTTATACAGGTTTTCATGTCTTCTGTATTCTTTTTTTCTGACATTGTTGGCTTTGTTGATGAGAGAATCCTACTTCTGCTCGTAGACATTATTATCTGATAATTCTTTCCGACATCGAAGCTGCTCCCCTTGAATGCCATGAAATATGGCCACCTACTGGTAGTAGAAACTTTTAACATGGATGAGAGTTCTCAATATTGATATGGAACACTTTACGTTCATGGCTCCTGAGACATCGGAGATATGTGACCTCCTGTGCATGTTCACAATGCAGTCCTGAGCCTGGCTCAACCTCATTAGGTCTTTCTAAGCATAGGAAACTAAACAAGAGGTCCAAATAAGACGAGGATATTTTATGTTCCTCAGTAAATCAAAGTCCCACCTATGTAAATGTTTACAATCTTATTTATGTTCATAACCACTCAGGATCCTATCTAATGGTTTAATATCAATAAAAGACATTTTTGAGATTTAGAAGATTTTTTGAAACTCCATCAACGAAAAATACAAAGAAAATGTACAAAATTTAGAGACCACAAAAACGAAATGAAGAAACTAAATTATAATATTCCATTTGGATCATATCAAGGAGGTTTGATTGCTTTGATCTCTCTTTCATTCTCATTCACATTCCCACACCACCATCACGCTCTGAAACTTTTGTAAAGCTATTCTAATCCAGTGGAATTAGAATATCTTTGATGTCAAGAAATTCATAAATTAATAATAAAACATAAATTAGAAATATCAATGCAAAATTTACACGGTTTGATAATTCGTATATACATCTATAGAAAAAAAAAAGATTTCTCATTATATAAGAATAGTCAAGTATAAGGAAAAAAATTAATTCTTATGTTAACCCGAACCCAAAATATCCTCCTGCATCTTATCACATAGATCTCCAAAAAAAAAAAAAAACTCACACGTTTCTAAACATACTAAAGAATTTTTGGTATACCTTCTTTGCATCGAAAGATTTTTTTTTTGTTTTTGTTTTTTCTCTATACCTCGCCTAGCTAGACATTGAGATATATATGATTTTATAAAACAAATAAATCCTAATGCACAACAGGTTCCTATGGCCCCTAATTCAAAACAAATAAACCCAAAATAATTGAATTCCTAATGCTCCGAGTAACAAAAAATCTCATTCTTCTAACCACTCTTTTTAAACGAAAAAGTTGGTGTCTGAATCTTTAACTATGATTATTTTACCGAAACAACTCAGCAGTGGGGATTCTAAACCATACTTATGGACATATTGTTGTTGGCTTCTCTGACTCTATGTTATTTGTTTTAGTCATTTTGATAGATCCTTAAATCTTATAGCTCATTCAAAAATATATAAATATATAATAAATCATTCGAAACTAACTTAATCATTGATACTTAGATAATTTATCTAGAAAAAAATTAATAATAGAGTTTTATCGTACCCCCGTATTTAATTTTAATCATGAACATCTTTTTTTTATACTATAATCAAAATATCTTTTACAAAGTAAAAAAAAGATAGCTAATGATTGTTGACTCCATTTTAATCATCGACATCCCTTTTCTTAGGTTATACTATAATCAAAATATCCTCAATATGGTAAAAAGAAAGACGGTCAATGATCTTTGACTCTATTTAACTTTTGTTTTTTAACATTCCATCAATTTGTTTGACTTGAATTGGACTATATTCTTTTCTTTCCAAATCATCTGATCCCTATTCAACTAATATAACATTAATGTCTGTTAACTTTTTTACCGATGGTGATTATCACCATCGTGATCTCTATCATCGTCATCATTATCTAATCTTTGTTCTAACCTAACCTAACACGATCGTGAGCGCAAGTCTCAATGAAAATAACAATCGGTTGTCATTGTAGAAGAGAAGAAGGGGTCCCATTGAGCCTTAGTGATGGCGCCATCGTCATCCACTTCCTACCCCATCGATTCTTCTATTGGTCTACTTTGCACAATCTTTTTTTTTCCTTCAAATCAATATTTTTTAATCTAATGCATTGATAATATCCTTATAATAGAAGATTTAGAGATTAATCTTTTGTGCTTCCAATGGATTAGTGAAGTCGAAATCTTTGGCTCCAATAATTATCTTGTTGCAATTAGTGAACAGTGACTACACATCTAGTTGTATGCTTAGCAGAATTTTTTGGATTTAATTGGCTGCAGATTAGTCAATTTATGCATGACTGACTTTTTATTACTAACAGAAGTATGTTCTTGATGAATTTTAACTCGAGATACGGATACACGATAGGATTACAATCTAAGATTTAGATCATCTTAGAATAAATTTTATTAATTACATTAAAATTATCAAAAAAATACTGATCAATTTAAAATCATATCATAATAGTTTTCTATAAGTTTTTATTAATTATTGTTATCGTAACTTTTCCAGTTAGATAAATTATAGTTATATTCAATGATTGTTCAAACCCCAATGTTACAGTTATATATAAATAAATAGTTAAAAACTAAATTAATCAAATTTAATGTTTTGAAAAATACATCTCAACTGACATGATTTCAGACAGAAACGCTATCATTTTCCCTGCTTGAAAGGTTGAGGCTCACCTGCCACAATAATTAAGATCGAGCTCATCATTTTCCCAAATTCATTGAATGCAATCAATACGAAAGATAAGTCTATCAGGACAGGAATTGAACTGGTGGGTGTGGCTTCATCAGCGCTGTCGAACACAACACAATGATTCACTAGCATTCCTAATCTTCTGCCTCTCTGAGAAGCATTCAGTCCCCTATCTGTTCCTCGTAGAGAAATGAGCTCTCTGGTCAAATGACACCAATGTGTAGTTGACAGGTAGATCGATGTGGATGCCGGAGACCATAAGATGGCCTCCACATGTGGACATGGAGATGGAGGAGGAGGCAGGTGAGGTGGGCTGTCTGGATTCAAGAGAAAGCCGAGCAAACAAAGATTTGCAGTCGGAAAACAAGGAGGAGATAAAAAGAAGAACAGCTTTCACAGTTCATTTGTATAGTAACCGCACAAATAGGAAATGACAGCCCACGAGTCAATAGTCAATCTATCGGGACGGAGGAGAACCATTGGTTTTGCTCCTCCTCTCCTCTGACTTCCGCCCTCTCCACCACCGAGCTCGATCCATCCTTCCGGCCTCTGCCCACAACTCCACGGGTATTTCTTTCCTTGTGTTTTCTGCTCACCGAAACATTCCGTCAAAACTTTCCCTTGCCACTGGCGCAATTGCGTGACTGATCCTTCTGATGCCATGAGTCTTGTCTTCCGGCTCTTCTTGGGCACGTTTTTGATCCATTTTCGCCTCCTGTTTGGCTCAGAATAATCTTCAACAATCATTTTTTTGCGTGTTTCAGTGGTAAAAATTTGATCTTGACTTGAATTAATTGGAGAAGACGATGCTCCCTTCATGGATGATATCTGCGAGGAGACTTAGATTTGGCTGGTGAGTTGCTTGGGCTCTGCTTCGTATCTTTCTGGATCTTCCTTTTCTTACCGATCTACCATCTTGCTAAGATCGTAAGCTTCTGTCGTTTCCTTTTCCATCCGTTGCATCTTGTTTTGTTGTGGCATTATAGATTCAGGAAGGGGCGTTGAGGAGGAAAGATGGGTGAGAGCATGGCTGCTAGATATTGGTGCCACATGTGCTCTCAGTTGGTGAATCCGATCACGGAAGTGGAGCTCAAATGCCCGCACTGTGACAGTGGATTTGTGGAGGAGGTGGACGGCAGAGAAGACGTGGACGATCAAACCCTCTCCCCATGGGCTCCGATCTTGCTGAGAATGCTCGGGGGTGGCTCCCTGCGCCGCCGGAGAATCCACAGGGAAGTGGAAAGGGAGAGTTCGGACCGAGAAGTCGAGACCTTTCGCCGAAGGCGGAGGAGGACCCCCGCCATGCTTCAGATGCTCCATGCCCTCCGGGAGGGGAACCGATCGGAGCCGGGTAGGATCGACGTCGAGAGGGAGCACGGAAGGGGAACGGAACATGTCATCCTCATCAATCCCTTCGCCCAGGCATTGATTCTGCAAGGATCATCTGATGCGGACCAACTGCAAGGCCCTGGTCTGGAGCTCTTGCTGCAGCACCTGGCGGAGAACGACCCGGACCGGTACGGGACGCCGCCGGCTCTGAAAGAGGCGGTGGATGCAATGCCTACAGTGAGAATCGAGAAGAACACGAGCTGTTCCATCTGCTTGGAGGATTTGGAAGTTGGCGGAGAGGCCACGGAGATGCCCTGTAAGCACAAGTTTCATGGCGGCTGCATCTTGCCGTGGCTGAAGCTCCATAGTTCCTGCCCTGTTTGCCGGTTTCAGATGCCTGCCGATGGATCGAAGGCTACAAGTGCAGGTGGTAGTGGCAACAGAGCGGCGGTCGGGGATGGGAGAAGCGTGCCATGGCCTCTCGATGGCTTCTTCCCTTTGTCAGCTTCTCGAAGCAGTAGCAACTCCTTCTCATCACCGCCATCATCATCGACGTCGGGAAGTAGCTCGCAGCCAAATGAGAACTGAAGACGTGCGCTCAATCTCTGCTGCCGAAATTGCTTCGTTTTCTTGTTTAGCAATCTGAAAGAACAAAATGCTTGCAATTGCATTGTCCTTTGGATTCTCGAGTGTCTGCTGCTGTCTGAGGATTTCAATCTCTCGTCGTTTATTAGTTCTCTTCGAACAACTGTGAAAACTCTGCAGCTTCTACTTCGATCAAAATCATTTTCTCCAACATGACATTAAACTGCAGAGACCACTTCATTATTTGTTTCTTATCCCACTTTGGTCACTTCCATTCCAGTATCAATCAAAGAACAGTCATATCCACAATGGTAGCCATGATCGAAGCTTTTAGGAATGTTCTACTAGAGATACATGAAGAGGCCTCACCTTTGCACCATGGTATCAAATCAGGTTAAAGTTTGATGAACTTCTATGCTAAGCATTGATGGGTTATATCCTCGAGCATTGATGGCTCTTCCTTACCTCAAACCTTCCTATAAACAAACGTCTACAACAAACCATTGGTGGGCTCATGAGAAATTATCAATATAATTTTGTCCTTTCGGAACATGTGAACTCCAAAACACACCTTAAGGTAAGGGATACCTGACGGACTTATGAGCCATTGGTTCTCATACTCCTCAACTAATGTGGGATTAAATAGTCTTATCAATGCTCATTCCCGTAGGGAAGCCAAGGGCTCATAACTGAGGTGTATAGCTCGGGAGCGAGTTTACTCGGTCGAGGTGCAAGCATCGGGCCCTCCTTCAAGCACCAATTTAATAAGAGACCATTTAGTCCCACATTGATTGAGGAGTATGGGAACTAAGGGCTCATAAGTGTTGGGAAAAACCTATTATGGGTTGGACCCAACAATTCTCCCCCTCCAGCTCATATGGTGGGCTATACATATGGGCTGGACCCAATAATTCTCCCCCTCCAGCTCATATGGTGGGCTATACATATGGGCTGGACCCAATAATTCTCCCCCTCCAGCTCATATGGTGGGCTGTACCATGTATCAAGCCCGCTCTTCACCTACATGCTTCAAGCTTCTCCTTAGGCAAAGATTCTTTCATCTCAAGCACATCACGAATCCTAGAGAGGTGAATGACAAACTTTTTCATCCATAAAGCTTCCTTGCAGGCTTCAATAATTGTTATGTATTCTGCTTCTGTGGTTGATAGAGCAACACACTTCTGTAACTTAGACTGCCAAGAGACTGCTTCTCTTGCAAATGTCATCAAGAATCCCGAAGTGGACTTCCTGTACCATAGCATACATCAAACTGTCTACTGCAGATGAGTAAGACACTCTGGACATTTCTTCTTTTTCTTTCTCACTTGTAGGATATTGTTTTGAATTAAGCTTGAAATGACCTGCAAGTGGGGAACAAACTGCTTTGGCTTTACTCATGTTGAATCTTTCAAGAACCTTTTCAACGTAAGTCTCCTGAGATAGCCAAATCTTCCTTTTCTTCCTATCACGAAGAATCTTCATGCCAAGTATTTGTTTCACCGATCCCAAGTCTTTCATGGCAAAATACTTACTTAGCTCTCTTTTAAGCTTTCCAATTTTTCCAACATTATGGCCAACAATCAGCATATCATCAACATATAGTAGTAAAATAATAAAATCATCATCTGAAAATTTCTTCATAAACACACAATGATCATATGTGGTTCTATCATACCCTTGGCTCATCATAAAGGAATCAAACTTCTTATAACACTGTCTAGATGCCTGTTTGAGTCCATATAAGCTTACACACCATATTTTCTTTTCTCTTGACTTTGAAACATTTTGGTTGCTCCATGTAAATTTCTTCTTCTAAGTCACCATGAAGAAATATTATTTTTACATCAAGTTGCTCAACTTCTAAATTCAAGCGGGCAGCTAAACCAAGAACAACTCGGATAGAGGACATTTTCACAATTGGAGAAAATATTTCTTCAAAGTCAATACCTTTCTTCTGATTGAATCCTTTCACAACTAGTCGTGTCTTGTATCTTTATTGTGAGCTATTGTTTTCAGTCTTCAATTTATAAACCCACTTATTCTTGAGAGTTTTTTTCTCTTTAGGCAACTTTACCAAGTCATAGGTGTGGTTCTCAAGTAAGGATATCATCTTTTCTTGCATAGCTTTAACCCACTCATTCTTATTCTCATGTAGAATAGCTTCTTGGTAAGTTTCTGGCTCTCCCCCGTTAGTAAGCATAACATACTCATGTGTAGGATATCTGGTAGAGGGTTGTCACTCTCTAGTGGATCTTCTCAATGGAATCTCAGCTGGTGGTGGAGGTAGCTGTTCAGTTGGTTCAGCATCATCAACTGTATGTGTATCATCACTTACATTCTCACCATGATCTTCTTGTTTATCTCCCCCGTGATCATCATGAACTACAAGTGAAGGAACTGGACCCAAACTCCAAGGAATATAAACAGAGGTTTCTGGCTTCTCAATATTATCATCATCATCAAACAATTGGTCTTTAAGAAATACAACATCTTTGCTTCTAATAGTCTTCTTGTTCACTGGATCCCATAATCTGTACTCAAACTCTTCATGACAATATCCCAAGAAGATACATGCTTTTGCTTTACTATCAAGCTTGGACCTCTCATCTTTGGGAATATGAACAAATGCTTTACACCCAAAGACTCTCAAATGATTATAAGATATATCTTTTCCTCTCCATACTCTCTCTGGAACATCACCTTGTAGAGGAATTGATGGAGAAAGATTTATCAGGTCAACTGTAGTTCTCATAGCCTCTCCCCAAAATGACTTTGGTAACTTGGCGTGGGAAAGCATACACCTAATCCTTTCTTCAATGGTTCTGTTCATCCTTTCTGGCACACCATTCTATTGAGGAGTTTTAGGAACTGTTTTCTCAAGCCTGATACCATGGAACCTGCAATAATTCTCAAAAGGACCCCTATATTCGCCACCATTATCTGATCGAATACACTTTAGTTTTCTGCCAGTTTCTCTTTCAACACTGACATGAAACTCCTTGAAAACATCGAGTACCTGGTCTTTAGATTTCAAAGCAAAAGCCCACACTTTTCTAGAATAGTCATCAATAAAAATAACAAAATAAAGAGCACCTCCAAAAGTTCTAGTTTGCATAGTACAAATATCAGTATGAACTAAATCAATAACATCTGATCTTCTAGATGATGGATATGTCTGAAATGCAACTCTATGTGTTTTTCCATCTAAGCAATGATCACAAGATTTAAGAGATGTACCTTGCAACTCTGGTAAGAACTACTTTCTAGCAAGAGTTTGAAGTCCCTTCTCGCTGATATGTCCAAGCCTCTTATGTAAAGATCTATACTTTCACCTTTTTGAATTGCATTAATCTCTCCTTTGTGTAGCTTAGCTTCAATGACATAAAAAGAGTTAATCTTCTTTCCTTTTGCCACAATCAGAGAACCTTTAGTAAGTTTCCATTTGCTTTCACTAAAATAGTATGCAAAACCCTCATCATCAAGTCTACTTGTAGATATCAAGTTAAGACGAATATCTGGAACATGCCTTACATCTTTGAGTATCAATTTGCTCCCAATACTGGTCTCCAAGCAAATATCTCCAATACCCACAATCTTAGATGTATCACTGTTTCCCATTCTGACATTACCAAAATCACCAGCAGTGTAAGATCTAAAGAAATCACCATGAGAAGTAACATGAAATGAAGCACCAAAGTCAATTACCCAATTCCTGTCCTGAGCTACAAGACTAACACAACTTTCATCACAGACAATAGTGATATTACCTTCAGCAGCAACTGTATTGGTCTCTTTCTCATTTTTCTTCATTTCATTCTGTTCTCGCTTCCAAAACTTACACTCTTTCTTCATGTGACCTGGCCTATTACAGTGGAAATATTTGATATCTCTTCTAGACTTAGATCTTTCTTTATATCCATGTGGATTTCTGCTATGACTTCTTCCACGTCTTTCTTGTTTTTCAGTAACAAATGCATCAGAAGAAGATTCACCCTGTTCTTTCCTTCTGACATCTTCATTTAGCAAACTGTCTTTAATCATATTTATAGTTAGAGTTTCCTCTGGCGTGGAGTTGCAAATAGTCACCACATACGTTTCACAACTTTCTGATAAAGAGCTGAGAAGTAATAATCCTTGCATATCATCATCTATATTCATTTTCATAGCAACCAATTTGTTTGCAAGACTCTGAAATAGGTTTATGTGCTCAACAATGTTACCACCATCTTTATACTTCAAATTTACAAGCCTTCTGAGGAGATAAATTCTATTTCCCACTATCTTTTTCGCAAAGAGATTTTCTAACCTTTGCCAAACAACATCAGCTCTGATTTCATCTGAAATATGCTCATGCAAGTTTATATTCATCCATCTTCTAATATAGGCAATAGCTTTTCTATGTTGAACTTCCCATTCTTCATTGTCCATAGTAGAAGGTTTATCTTTAACCTTGATAGGCTTATACAAATCTTTGCAATAGAGCAAATCTTCCATCATACGCCTCCAAGTGGAATAATTTGATGAGTTTAATTTAATCATACCATCAGACTCCATTTCAATCACACAAGAAAAACTAGCACCAAACAACCTGTTGCTCTGATACCACTTGTTGGGAAAAACCTGTTAAAGCGGAATATTCTTTTCCCTCTTTGTGTATCAAAATGGGTTCCTCATCAAAATACCAACTTGATATCCAAATATAAATATCAACCAGCACAGCATAAACAATAGAGCAAAAAACCAATCACATAGTGAGACCAAATCTTTTTAACGTGGAAAACCTAATGTGGGAAAAACCACGGGACCGTAGTCCACCTCAAACTTTCACTATCAATAATAATGATAACAGGTTTACAATCGGTCTTCTCTAGAATAACTAGAGGATCAGAATAACATCAAGAACATAGATCTTGGCTCTAGCATAGCATATCTTCATCACATAGGGTGGATCTCCTCGTAAGAGAATTCTAGATCTCACAAAGTGGATATAGCAGAAAAGTATCTTAGAGAGGGTAAACTATAGATCAACACCGTTAGGATTGTAAAGTTTGCTGCAAGGATTCTCCACATAAAATTTGGGCCAAAACTGACAACGTTTGGCCATCGATCGTCAAGCAAAAATCTCGAAAACCTAACTTTCTCTCTCCTTTTTTGTCTGCACGCCCCGCACATACTTTTGCTATGCACCCAATTTTGCCCTTTCTCTCTTAATTATTGATTTGGGCTTATGACCCAAATTTGTCCAAGCCCACATATAGGCTGGACCCAACAATAAGTCCGTCAAATTTTTTTTTACCCTCAGAGATATTTTTTTTTTTTAGCTCACATGTTGCGAAAGTATAAAAGAACATCCTTTTCTCTTAATATTCTACAATACTATTAGCTGTACAAAAACGTAGCATAATCATTTGAGGATCAAAGGTTGCTAATTTCAAGTTGCTATTTGGCTCAAAACCACGGAAAAATTAATGTTTAATAATTACTATATATCAGCAAGAGAAAGTAACATAACATTTCTATTAATTACAAGGGAAGGTGGGATTAATGAATTAGGAATTAAGTGCTTCCAAAGACACTCTCATAAACAGGGGTGGAAAAAAAACAGTGTCTCATCCATATTTAGTTGCTTAATCTTCAAGAACTTGTAATAGTTCCTGTCAAACATCATGTACAGCAAAAAGTGCAGGGGAAGAAATGACATATATAATTAATTGATTGCAATCATAGTTTCTTCATTGCAGAAAGCAATTTACGCTCAGAAAACATGATTAATTCCAAGTGAGACAGGCGTACGCACACGTTAAATATCAATATATTTGTGCAGGCAGATATCTGGTTGTGGTAAAGAACATGAATAGCTTGATGCAATTATAATGGGTTTCCGTGAATCTCGGCAACACACCATGAACTGATGCTACTGGTTCCCATGGAGAGGTTGCTTGCCACTGCATCTCCGTGCAACTCCTGATCTACTCCAACTCAGAACTCAATATAACCTACACCTAAATTTTTCGGTTTCCTTAGCATCAAGTGAGGGATATATGAATGTTTCTGAAGGTTGACTGTGCTACGTATAGTGCAGTATTATTCTTAGGTTTGGCAATTACTGAGAAGACAGTCCAATACAGAAGTCTCGTGGTTCATTAAACACGAGGATGGCTGTCGAAAGAAGAAAGATATTTCGATTTCTTTCTTTTCTAGTGTTCAATGGATGAAAGCTTGGCGTAGTTAATAGTAACCTCGTGAGATATTAAGCCAAGCAACTCACATGAATAGAACCCTTCTCAAACCCTCCCTCCTCTTCCTCCCTTCCTCCCACTTCAGCTGACTCCAGAAGTTTTGTTCTTCTTCTCTTCACGCATAGTTCATCTCATGGCTTCCATAAATGGCTGAAAAGTGGAAATATGATGACAGATAAGGTCGTATCACGAGATACCGTCGAAGGCATTGATGTCGGACTTGGAATCGAACTGACCTTATATGGGTGGTCTAAGAATGCATGAACATAGTAATTTAAGGGCATTAACAGGTCCAGTTGCACCAACGAAAACAATATACGGGTGAAGATTAAGACGCCAAATATGCTGGTGTAGAACATTTCCAAAATGACAAATCAAAATATATTCGACACCAGGAAGTATAACAAATTTCCAACACTAGCTTGATCTGACACAATGATCTATGATGCAGGAAGCCTGCAGAGACGACAAAAGAATAGACCTTCACGTTGGTGTTCTTTGCGATCTATGCGTATAGATATACTATACAATTGGGAATCTATATCAGCAAGAGTTCAGGCAGTACATGATTAATAACATCTGAGAGGAGTAGGAGATGAATTACTTGAGATCCCAAATGCTATCCAAATCCATCACTGGTCCAGATGAAGGATGCAGAAAGTCACCGAAGCGTGCCGACGCCATCGAAGATATCTCGGTGGTGCGACCGGTACTGTGGTCTGTGTCTTGCGAGGGGCAGGAAGAAGATGCATCGTTGACAGCAGCTAAGGCTCTCAGCATTGCTTCTTGTTGGTGCAAATAATAAGAGCTTTGAGGAAGGAGATGTGGATGGGAGGCTGAATTCTGAGGTGGATTTGAGATCACTAGCTGATTCATGACTTGTCCATCCTCCATCCCCATCATGGCGGAGAAGGTAGGAATCGCGTTGGTTTTCGGGTAAGGAGGATCCATGAGAGGGGGCAATGTAGTAGCAGAGTCAAAGAAACCTTCTGCAAGAGAATTAGCCCCTTGTGATTCAGGTGGTGGTATGCTGCTCTTCGTCCCCATCTTCTTGTGAAAGACTTTGCAGACGACCCATTCAGCCTGCAACGATAAAGTTCAATGTTTGTGTTTTCTCCTAAAAGAACCGAAGAACAGAAAAAGAAATAAAAGAAAACGATAAGTACCTTTGCAGACTTTGGGATATTGGGGAATGGGAACTTGCCATCGAGCCTGAATTCATGCATCACCCAATTAGTCTTCTGTCCTTTGGGAGCTCTTCCTCTGTAGAACACCAGTGTCTTCTTCATGCCAACGAGCTCTACTCTCTCCTTATATATCTCCTTATCTTTTCCTGTGGCCTTCCAATAGCCGGCTTCTGTGGCCCTGTTGGTCCTCATGCCAGTCGGGTACTTCCTGTCCCTCTGGCAGAAGAAGTACCATTCCTTCTCTCCCATCCTTGCCTTGGCTGCAACAACATCGAATCGAATCAAGTTTCACAACTCAGACCAGAGACTCCGAAACCAAACACCAAAGAAACCACATGAGAAGCATCAGCTATCAGTTACTTGGAAGATCCCATGGCTCGCACTTGTTGAGGTCCACCTCTCCCATAGCTCTTGCACTGAAGCTCTTGTTGATCACCTTGGGCGAGAGGTAGTGAGTTATGATCTCCTCATCCGTGGGATGGAATCTGAAGCCAGGGGGCAAGCCCATGCAGTCGTCCTCCATGTGGAATTGCACCTTCGGAAGAGAAGATAGAAAATTCAAGAGAACAAATAAAACCTCCTTAACGTCACGAATCCCAATACAGGAGAACACCACAGACAGGAAACGAGAGGAGGAAGGAGATGAACGGAGAACACACCAAATTGTGCTGTAATTTCGAGGTGGATCTAAGAAAGGAGAAAATAGAGGGCAGGGAGATACTTAAACAGCGGTAGGGTTCCTTCAAAGCCTAAAACATCCGTGTCATTTAAGTCACTTCAAAGAGGAGCCACATGGGGAAGGGGAAGGTCCCAAGTATTTTATTGCCGCAATTACTGGTCTTAGTCTTATTACTCATACTATTCCTTATATGAACGAAATATACAGTTTAATTCTTCTTATGATCACGCCATTCTCACTGTTATATATTAGATTTACGGGAGATAAAGCAGCAAGAATCATTCTTCATGCAGTTGAACTAACCATTACAACTTCAATATGATATCTACCAGTCCTCGTTCCAAGTTGTGGAACTGTCTGTGACACGTGACCAGAGAAAGGCATCGTCAAAGTTGGATACGCATGGCAGGTGGTCCGACTTTGGCTGATCTCTTTGGATCGTCTTTATCGCTCCATTATTTATCTCTTCACCCTCAAAATTATCTCTCAAAATGACACTGTTATGATTTGCATAATTGTTGATCAACTGTAGCATACATGTCTCTCTCTGTGACATTACTCGAACTCATGTCATTATATTTCTCAGCCTCTCTGGCTCACCTTTGATCGACAACAAATCCAACCGGGAAATAGGTGGAATATTTCTCGAATTATATATATGAAGTAGCGGTCAAAAGTGAGTATTATCGCTGTACTTGTATTCTTTAATGTTATATGTTTATATTGCACATGTAGATGCATGTTTAGATTTGACTGTTGGCTTGTTGGCAAAGAATAAAAAATGAAAGTGTATTGATTCAACTTATATTACTGCACCTTAATATAAAAACAGAATAGTAGTAATAATAATAATAATAATAATAATAATAAGCTCTTAAATGCTTTTGACTCTTTCCCTCTTCAATGCATGTAGGTTCGTTCTCATGCTGATGCCTCCAATGTCGTCGGATGGACCCACGCCGCTGTTCAACAATAGCGGCCGCTCTCGATCTCACCAACACCGTACCCATCGGCCGTCTGACCAATTGCCGAAGGCCGCTCGTGACTGTCTGAATGGTTTTAGAAGCATTTGAAGTCGACGCAAAATATTGCATGGGCTATTAGTTGGATGAGTACGACTATCGTGGTGTCTTATTTGCGTGTGCATTTGAAATATTAGGTGGGGTGCACCAGTCTAAATCAAGTAGCTCTTCATCTCCCTTGAGGCATGATTTAGTCCATGGATCAATGCAAGAGTACCGTAGTTGATTCAACCAGCGATGCCATGGGAGAATGGTCTTTATAAGCTCTAACCATCAGAAGCACCTCATCTCGGAGCAGTGTGCTTCAAATAAGCATCAGTTGTTTGTGCCACAAGTTCTTCGACTCAGTGACATGCTCCGAATGGGCAGCTAACGTTCATACTATGATTCATGTGGGTCTTCTCTACACTGTTTCCTTGTGATCAATAATATGTGCGGATTGCATGCATCTAACTTTAGCTGGTTGATTCCGCTTACGCTACTTTGCCAGCTTGTCATCTTCATATTTTTGGATTGAGAAAGTCAAACCCGAACGCCTTGCAACCACTATCCATTATTTCCTTGTAGCGAAGAGTACTTTTTCTTTTACTGAGTTCTGACAAGTTCTGAAGAGGTGTTTACGCAATGTAGTAGCACAATGTTGTCGTTGGATTTGAATGGACAACAGACTGTGTTCTTATGGGTGCATGTGAAAGCTTTAATGTCCTAGATTCCTTCACATGCTCCTTGAATGCGCCAGCCATGCATGGTGGCAACCCTAGATAGTATGAGTTCGATCTTCACATGCAACCCATCACAGGAGATCATACAAGTGTAGATAACAAAATATCGGAACCAGAACTGAACTATAAGAACCTGCTTCAAGTTCGATTTGAAACAGTCGAACCATTGACCCGATTCGATTCTGATTTCCGATTAATTTACTTTCAGTTCAATTCTGATTCGAACTCGAACACCTGTGAAGGTCTCTTCATCAAAAGTTCTTGTGGGCTTTGTTTAACCAGTTCTTGGAAGCCTGCAATGGTGTGCCTATGGCCTTCCCTATAATCCACATCAAATCACATCGCTAAAAGGTCTCTCTGCTGCGAGAGATCTAATTGTGTGTTCAGTGCGAGGAGCTCCCGTGTGTATTGTGATACCTACCGGTCAGCAACAGAAACCTGTGCGCAGGTTCATTTATTGGCATGCATACTGTTGACCCGAATTTGACAAAGTACGTATACATGTCGATTGTATTAAGATCGCAAGGATAAGTTTCATGTCGTGTACATGTGGATATATATATATATATATATATATATATATAATTGATGAGTCTGGCTCACCTGTTTTGATCGAGCAACCAACTGGAGGGTGACGGGCAGATAGAGGCCATCCATCAATAGAGGAGCTCTTGTTTGGTTGATGGTCAGTGGAGCACAGAAAGGAGCCTCACCTTTTTCTAATCAACTTAACATTGATCTATAGATTAGAAGTTTCTTCCATCACATTCAGAACTTTATTTATGGTCTCACCAAATCAATTTGATGAGAGTTAACTATAATAATGATAAGTACGTTTCGTCCTACATCGAATCGTCTTTTAGTTCGAATCCATCCAAAACGGATAATTATTTTATGAGTCCGAATCAAAATATTCTATAGAAATACAAAAATAAAAGGAACACATATGCAAGACATCCCAAGTTTGCAATAATTCTCGATTTTTGTCGAATGCAACCTTTTCACACAAATGGACAGAAGACTAAACTTATTTTATCTTATCTTTACGTAGCTGCTTTGCTGGACTCTGGAAGATGATCGTAGTAGTCGTCACAAATAGGTTGAGGTCACGCCCTGGGCTTGCACACGATGGTGGAGTGCTTCAGTATGTGGAGGCTGAACTGGCCGCCCTTCTCGGTGGTGTCGACCTTGTTGGCCCCCGGCGGCGGCAGCAGCTCGAAGCTCTGCACCAGAGAGCCGAGGGTGATCCCGAGGATGGGGAGCGCGAGGATGATCCCGGGGCAGCTCCGGCGGCCGACGCCGAAGGGCAGATACCGGAAGTCGTTGCCGTTGGCCTCCACCTTGGCCTCCTCCTCCAGGAACCGCTCGGGGCGGAACTCCTCGGGGTTCTTCCAGTGGGCGGGGTTGTTGGCGAGCCACCAGGCGTTGACCAGGATCTTGCTCTCGGCGGGGATGTCGAAGCCTCCCAGCTTGGCGTCGTGGAGGTTCATGTGGGGGACGAGGAGGGGAATAGCCATGCGCAGCCGGAGGGTCTCCTTGATCACCGCCTGCAGGTAGGGCAGCTTCTGGAGGTCCGGCTCCGTGATCGGGACGCCCGGGCCGAGCACGGTGTCGAGCTCCTGCCGTAGCTTGCGCTGGATCTCGGGGTGGTTCACCAACTCCGCCACCCCCCACTCGATCGACCACAACGTCGTCTCTATGGCTGCACAACACACTCAAAGAATTAATCCCAAAGCAAGAATCATAACCAGGAAGCATCGAAGAGTAAGTCTCTCCAAAGATCTCTTCAATTCATCCACCTGCGGCCATTGTCAAAGATAGCTAACCTAGTCAATTTGCTGGTGCCAACCTAAATCAAGTGGGTGGTAGGTTGCCGGTCGCAACCGGAAGCAACGATGAGGATGAGATGATATGTCACACTTCAACTGCCTCATTTATCTCATCACTTCTTCTCTGGAACTATCTTGGGATTGGAGAACTGGTGGTAGTAGGTAATCAGCACCACTGGCAATCAACCTTACTAAACAGGGATTCCGACCTTATCTCAGGATTATTTCTAGTCCAATGACTGTGATCTTATACGACAAAGTCAACATACTATGTTTAGATATAGCATCCCTTAGTCAAAGCAAACAGTAGCAGAAAGTGGAAAACCCGTATGAGTCACAAGGTATTCTGGCAGGAATTGGAACATCTGCATCCGCCCATAGATGACTAAGAATTGCACGGAATCAACAAAAATAATATAGAAACGATAAAAAATAATTTAATTGTTTATTCACTCCGAGCTTCAAGGAGGGGTATGTCAGTCTGCTAATGTCCATGCATGAGGAGCCACATCTCTTAAGAGGGATTATGTTTTATACAGGTTTACGTATGTACAAATAGTAATCAAATAGATTAAAAAGCAATTAAAGCATAGAATTCCTACGGCTTATTATTTAAGCTGTATGATAAGGTTTTCATTCCCGAAGGAGCCAAATCTCGAACGAGAAACATCTCTCATGCTCATCACCTACCACATATGATACTTCACTATGTCATCCAATTCAAGGATATATTTATCTTTTTTTTTACTATTATTTTGTAGATTTAATTTCACCCTTTCGTGAAGCCATCTGGGAAAGAAGAATTCTTCCTGCAAATTGCTTCATTTTGCAATGGATGGCCCCACGTGAGACCACGTGTGCAAGAATATGACCGATTCCTACCCTTCTGTGTCTCTCTCTGTGATCCAAAGGAGGATCACGTGCTCTAATGGTAAAGCCGCCGCTTCAAGTTCCTTTTATTCGTGCACAACAGTTTCGTGGAGAAAGAAATGGGGAATGTGAGGAGTACCTGCGACGTTGATGTTCTCGACGATGTAAAGAACATTGTCGTAGTTGATCTCCCCCCTCCTCTCAGCATCCAAGATGTGATCGATGGCGCACTTGAGCTCCATCTTCGATCCCAGTTGGTCCATCGTCTTCCTATATTAGCAATCATAGTTTCAATTAGCTTCCAACCCTTCGCGGTTCTGTATGTATATATGTGCTTACTTCTTCGCCGCAACGAAGTGGTCATCGAAGAGCTTGAGGCGTCCGTCCTTGAGCTCCTGGCACTTCTTGAGGTAGCCCCTGAGGAAGGGCCTCAAGATGGGGATGAAGTCGCCGTAGTTGTACTCGAAGCTCTGAGCGAGGCGGCTGCGCTCGCCGTTGGCGGCCCTGAGCTTGTTGAAAAGAGGATCGTCCATGCCTTGGAAGCGGTAGTTGAACATGATGCGATACATGTTGTTGTACATCATGAGCTGCAGGCGGCGACGGAGCACCACTCCTTGGGTGGCGGCCTTGGGG